AACACACACTGACATCCACACAATAACACACACAACAACACACACAGACATCCACACAACAACACACACTAACATCCACACAACAACACACACAAACATCCACACAACAACACACACAAACATCCACACAACAACACACACAGACATCCACACAACAACACACACAGACATCAACACAACAACACACACAGATATCCACAAAACAACACACACAGACATCCACACAACAACACACACATACATCTACACAACAACACACACAGACATCTACACAACAACAGACACAGGCATCTACACAACAACACACACAGACATCCACACAACAACACACACAGACATCTACACAACAACACACACAGACATCTACACAACAACAGACACAGACATCTACACAACAACAGACACAGGCATCTACACAACAACACACACAGACATCTACACAACAACACACACAGACATCTACACAAAAACAGACACAGGCATCTACACAACAACACACACAGACATCCACACAACAACACACACATACATCTACACAACAACACACAAAGACATCTACACAACAACAGACACAGGCATCTACACAACAACACACACAGACATCTACACAACAACACACACAGACATCTACACAACAACACACACAGACATCTACACAACAACAGACACAGACATCTACACAACAACACACACAGACATCCACACAACAACACACACAGACATCAACACACCAACACACACAGACATCTACACAACAACAGACACAGGCATCTACACAACAACACACACAGACATCTACACAACAACACACACAGACATCTACACAACAACACACACAGACATCTACACAACAACAGACACAGACATCTACACAACAACACACACAGACATCCACACAACAACACACACATACATCTACACAACAACACACAGGCATCTACACAACAACACACACACACACATCTACACAACAACACACACAGACATCCACACAACAACACAAACAGACATCTACACAACAACACACAGGCATCTACACAACAACACACACACACACATCTACACAACAACACACACAGACATCCACACAACAACACAAACAGACATCTACACAACAACACACATAGACATCCACACAACAACACACACAAACATCCACACAACAACACACACAGACATCCACACAACAACACACAGACATCAACACAACAACACACACAGACATCAACACAACAACACACACAGACATCCACACAACAACACACACAGACATCCACACAACAACACACACAGGCATCTACACAACAACACACACAGACATCAACACAACAACACACACAGACATCCACACAACAACACAAACAGACATCCACACAACAACACACACATACATCTACACAACAACACACACAGACATCCACACAACAACACACACAGACATCCACACAACAACACACACAGACATCCACACAACAACACACACAGACATCCACACAACAACACACACAGACAGCAACACAACAACACACACAGACATCCAGACAATAACACACACAGACATCCACACAACAACACACACAGACATCCACACAACAACACACACAGGCATCTACAAAACAACACACACAGACATCCACACAACAACACAAACAGACATCTACACAACAACACACACAGACATCTACACAACAACACACACAGACATCCACACAACAACACAAACAGACATCTACACAACAACACACACAGACATCCACACAACAACACACACAGGCATCTACACAACAACACACACATACATCCACACAACAACACACACAGACATCAACACAACAACACACACAGACATCGACACAACAACACACACAGACATCCACACAACAACACACACAGACATCCACACAACAACACACACAGACATCCACACAACAACACACACACGACATCAACACAACAACACACACAGACATCCACACAACAACACACACAGACATCCACACAAGAACACACACAGACATCAACACAACAACACACAAAGACATCCACACAACAACACAAACAGACATCTACACAACAACACACACAGACATCTACACAACAACACACACAGACATCTACACAACAACACAAACAGACATCCACACAATAACACACACAGACATCCACACAACAACACACACAGGCATCTACAAAACAACACACACAGACATCCACACAACAACACACACAGGCATCTACACAACAACACACACAGACATCCACACAACACACACACACAACATCAACACACACACAACACACACAGACATCCACACAACAACACACACAGACATCACACAACAACACACACAGACATCTACACAACAACACACACAGACATCTACACACAACAACACACACAGACATCCACACAACAACACACACACACATCACACACACAACACACACACAGACATCCACACAACAACACACAGCACCACACACAAACACACACAGACATCCACACAACAACACACACAGACATCCACACAACAACACACACAAGACATCTACACAACAACACACACACAGGCATCTACACAACAACACACACAGACATCCACAACAACAACACACACAGACAGCAACACAACAACACACACAAACATCTACACAACAACACACACAGGCATCCACACAACAACACACACAGGCATCCACACAACAACACAAACAGACATCTACACAACAACACACACAGACATCCACACAACAACACACACAGACATCCACACAACAACACACACAGACATCCACACAACAACACACACAGACATCCACACAACAACACACACAGGCATCTACAAAACAACACACACAGACATCCACACAACAACACAAACAGACATCTACACAACAACACACACAGACATCTACACAACAACACACACAGACATCCACACAACAACACACAACAGACATCTACACAACAACACACACAGACATCACACACAACAACACACACAGCATCTACACAACAACACACACATACATCCACACAACAACACACACAACACATCACACAACACACACACACAGACATCACACAACAACACACACAGACATCCACACAACAACACACACAGACATCCACACAACAACACACACAGACATCCACACAACAACACACACAGACATCAACACAACAACACACACACAGACATCCACACAACAACACACACAGACATCCACACAACAACACACACAGACATCAACACAACAACACACACAGACATCCACACAACAACAACACACACAGACATCTACACAACAACACACACAGACATCTACACAACAACACACACAGACATCTACACAACAACACACACAGACATCCACACAAAACACACACAGACATCCACACAACAACACACACAGGCATCTACAAAACAACACACACAGACATCCACACAACAACACACACAGGCATCTACACAACAACACACACAGACATCCACACAACAACACACACAGGCATCTACACAACAACACACACAGACATCCACACAACAACACACACAGGCATCTACACAACAACACACAGACATCTACACAACAACACACACAGACATCTACACAACAACACACACAGACATCCACACAACAACACACACAGACATCTACACAACAACACACACAGACATCCACACAACAACACACAGGCACCTACACAACAACACACACAGACATCCACACAACAACACACACAGACATCCACACAACAACACACACAGACATCTACACAACAACACACACAGGCATCTACACAACAACACACACAGACATCCACACAACAACACACACAGACAGCAACACAACAACACACAAAAACATCTACACAACAACACACACAGGCATCCACACAACAACACACACAGCATCCACACAACAACACACAACAGACATCTACACAACAACACACACAGACATCCACACAACAACACACACAGACATCCACACAACAACACACACAGACATCACACAACAACACACACAGACATCCACACACACAACACACACAACATCCACACAACAACACACACAACATCCACACAACAACACAGACAGACATCCACACAACAACACACACAGCATCAACACAACAACACACACACAAACATCCGACACAACAACACACACAGACATCCACACAACAACACACAACACAGACATCTACACAACAACACACACAGACATCCACACAACAACACACATACATCTACACAACAACACACACAGACATCTACACAACAACACACACAGACATCCACACAACAACACACACAGACATCCACACAACAACACACACAGACATCCACACAACAACACACACAGACATCCACACAACAACACACACAGACATCTACACAACAACACACACAGACATCCACACAACAACACAAACAGACATCCACACAACAACACACACAGACATCCACACAACAACACACACAGGCATCTACAAAACAACACACACAGACATCCACACAACAACACACACATACATCCACACAACAACACACAGACATGAACACAACAACACACACAGATATCCACACAACAACACACACAGACGTCGACACAACAACACACACTGACATCAACACAACAACACATACAGACGTCCACACAACAACACACACAGACATCCACACAACAACACACACATACATCTACACAGCAACACACACAGACATGCACACAACAACACACACAGACACCCACACAACAACACACACAGACATCCACACAACAACACACACAGACATCTACACAACAACACACACAGACATCCACACAACAACTCACACAGACACCTACACAACAACACACACAGACATCAATACAACAACACACACAGGCATCTACACAACAAAACACACAGACATTTACACAACAACACACACAGGCATCTACACAACAACACACACAGACATCCACACAACAACACACACAGACATCTACACAACAACACACACAGGCATCAACACAACAACACACACAGACACCTACACAACAACACACACAGACATCAATACAACAACACACACAAACACCCACACAACAACACACACAGATATCCACACAAAAACACACACAGGCATCTACACAACAACACACACATACATCTACACAACAACACACACAGACATCTACACAACAACAGACACAGGCATCTACACAACAACACACACAGACATCCACACAACAACAGACACAGGCATCTACACAACAACACACACAGACATCTACACAACAACACACAACATCAGCACAACATCAACACAACACAACATCAGCACAACAACACACAACATCAGCACAACAACACACACACATCAGCACAACAACACACACAACATCAGCACAACAACACACAACATCAGCACAACATCACACAACATCAGCACAACAACACAACATCAGCACAACAACACACAACATCAGCACAACAAACACACAACATCAGCACAACAACACACAACATCAGACACAACAACACACAACATCACACAACAACACAACATCACACAACATCAGCACAACAACACACACAACATCAGCACAACAACACACACCACATCAGCACAACAACACACAACATCAGCAACAACAACACACAACATCACACACAACAACACACAACATCAGCACAACAACACACAACACATCAGACATCAGCACAAACATCACAACACACACATCAGCACAACAACACACAAACATCAGCACAACAACACACAACATCAGCACAACAACACACACAACATCAGCACAACAACACACAACATCAGCACAACAACACACACAACATCAGCACAACAACACACAAATCAACAACACAACAACACACATACAACAACACACAACAACACACAACACATCACATCAGCACAACAACACACACACAACATCAACACAAACAACACACAACAACCACACAACACACACACAACAATACATCAACACACAACAACAATACAACAACAATACAACAACACATCAACACACAACAACAATACAACAACAATACAACAACACACAACAACAATACAACAACACACAACAACAATACAACAACACATCAACACACAACAACAATACAACAACACACACAACAACACACAACATCAGCACAACAACACACAACAACAATACAACACACACAACATCAACACAACAACACACAACATCACACAAACAACACACAACAACAATACAACAACACATCAACACAACAACACACAACAACAATCAACAACACACAACATCAATACAACAACACACAAAATCAGCACAACAACACACAACAACAATACAAACACACAACAATCAGCACAACAACACACAACAACAATACAACAACACACAACATCAGCACAACAACACACAACATCAACACAAAACACACAACACAATACAACAACACACAACATCAACAATCAACACAACAACACACAACATCACACAACATCAGCACAACATCACACAACATCAGCACAACAACACACAACATCAGCACAACAACACACAACATCAGCACAACAACACACAACATCAGCACAACAACACACAACATCAGCACAACATCAACACAACATCAACACAACAACACACAACATCAGCACAACATCACACAACATCAGCACAACAACACACAACATCAGCACAACAACACACAACATCAGCACAACAACACACCAACATCAGCACAACAACACACAACATCAGCACAACAACACACAACATCAGCACAACAACACACAACAATCAGCACAACAACACACAACAACAATACACACAACAATACAACAACACACAACAACACACAACACAGCACAACACACACAACAACACAACATCAACACAACAACACACAACACAACACACAACAACAATACATCAACACACAACAACAATACAACAACAATACAACAACACATCAACACACAACAACAATACAACAACAATACAACAACACACAACAACAATACAACAACACACAACAACAATACAACAACACATCAACACACAACAACAATACAACAACACACAACAACACACAACATCAGCACAACAACACACAACAACAATACAACAACACACAACATCAACACAACAACACACAACATCAACACAACAACACACAACAACAATACAACAACACATCAACACAACAACACACAACACACAATACAACAACACACAACATCAATACAACAACACACAAAATCAGCACAACAACACACAACAACAATACAACAACACACAACATCAGCACAACAACACACAACAACAATACAACAACACACAACATCAGCACAACAACACACAACATCAACACAACAACACACAACAACAATACAACAACACACAACATCAACACAACAACACACAACACAGCACAACATCAGCACAACATCACACAACATCAGCACAACAACACACAACATCAGCACAACAACACACAACATCAGCACAACAACACACAACATCACACAACAACACAACACATCAGCACAACATCAACACAACATCAGCACAACAACACACAACATCAGCACAACATCAGCACAACAACACACAACATCAGCACAACAACACACAACATCAGCACAACAACACACAACACAGCACAACAACAACATCAGCACAACAACACACAACATCAGCACAACAACACACACAACATCAATACACAACAAACAACAACACACAACAACACACAACATCAGCACAACAACACACAACATCAACACAACAACACACAACATCAGCACAACAACACACAACATCACACAACAACACACAACATCAGCACAACAACACACAACAACACACAACAAGCACAAACACACACAACAACACACAACACAGCACAACATCAGCACAACAACACAACATCAGCACAACAACACACAACATCAGCACAACAACACAACATCAGCACAACAACACACAACATCAGCACAACACAACACAACATCAGCACAACAACACACAACATCAGCACAACATCAACACAACATCAGCACAACAACACACAACATCAGCACAACATCACACAACATCAGCACAACAACACACAACATCAGCACAACAACACACAACATCAGCACAACAACACACAACATCAGCACAACAACACACAACATCAGCACAACAACACACAACATCAGCACAACAACACACAACACAATACAACAACAATACAACAACACACAACAACACACAACAACACACAACAACACAACAACACAACACAACAACACACAACAACAACAACACACAACAACAATACAACAACACACAACAACAATACAACAACAACACAACAACACACAACACACAACAACAATACAACAACACAACAACAACACACAACAACAACACACACAACACACAACAACAATACAACAACACATCAACACACAACAACATACAACAACACACAACAACACGCAACATCACACAACAACACACAACAACAATACAACAACACACAACATCAACACAACAACACACAATATCAACACAACAACACACAACAACAATACAACAACACATCAACACAACAACACACAAACAACAATACAACAACACACAACATCAATACAACAACACACAACATCAGCACAACAACACACAACAACAATACAACAACACACAACATCAGCACAACAACACACAACAACAAACAACAACACACAACATCAGCACAACAACACACAACATCAACAAAACAACACACAACAACAATACAACAACACACAACATCAACACAAAAACACACAACATCAGCACAACAACACACAACATCAGCACAACAACACACAACATCAGCACAACAACACACAACATCAACACAACAACACACAACATCAGCACAACAACACACAACATCAGCACAACAACACACAACATCAGCACAACATCAACACAACAACACACAACATCAGCACAACATCAACACAACAACACACAACATCAGCACAACAACACACAACATCAGCACAACAACACACAACATCAGCACAACAACACACAACATCAGCACAACATCAACACAACATCAGCACAACAACACACAACATCAGCACAACATCACACAACATCAGCACAACAACACACAACATCAGCACAACAACACACAACATCAGCACAACAACACACAACATCAGCACAACAACACACAACAACAATACAACAACAATACAACAACACACAACAACACACAACATCAGCACAACAACACACAACATCAGCACAACAACACAACAACACACAACAACAATACAACAACACACAACATCAACACAACAACACACAACATCAGCACAACAACACACAACAACAATACAACAACAATACAACAACACACAACAACACACAACATCAGCACAACAACACACAACATCAACACAACAACACACAACAACAACACACAACAACAATACATCAACACACAACAACAATACAACAACAATACAACAACACATCAACACACAACAACAATACAACAACAATACAACAACACACAACAACAATACAACAACACACAACAACAATACAACAACACATCAACACACAACAACAATACAACAACACACAACAACACACAACATCAGCACAACAACACACAACAACAATACAACAACACACAACATCAACACAACAACACACAACATCAACACAACAACACACAACAACAATACAACAACACATCAACACAACAACACACAACAACAATACAACAACACACAACATCAATACAACAACACACAACATCAGCACAACAACACACAACAACAATACAACAACACACAACATCAGCACAACAACACACAACAACAATACAACAACACACAACATCAGCACAACAACACACAACATCAACACAACAACACACAACAACAATACAACAACACACAACATCAACACAACAACACACAACATCAGCACAACACACAACATCAGCACAACAACACACAACATCAGCACAACAACA